TTGCCACCCCTCCCCCAACTCAGGGCTCCGTCCTGGACTTTCTCATCACCCCCCACAAAGCTCTCAAATCTGTCTCCAGCCCAGACCCCCTTCACCGCACACCACACACAGACAAACACACACATACTCCTTATCGCCCAAATTTTTCATCTTCCCAAACCCAGCTCTCCTCCCGGTTTCGCCAATTAATACATGGGCCTGCCAAGAACCGTGCAAGAAACCTAGGGGTCTTCCTCCCTCCCCCTTCCCTCATAGCCTGTCCCTCCTGCCCCTTCAATCTCATCCCCTCCTTCCCCAGCACCCTGGGGGAACCCAAGCTTCCTCCTCACCCACCTGGACCCCACCCCCTTCATTTTATTTTGTAGTTTTACAACTTTTTATTCAAGTATAACATTAACACAGGAAAACACACACATCACAAAGACACAGTTCAAATAGTTTCCCAAAGCAAACACCGCACTGTTGAACAGCATCCAAATCAAGAAAGCAAACATCTTCAGCACCCTAGAAGTTCCCTTGTACCCTCTTCTGCTACTGCCCCCCAAGAGTAACCATTATCCAGACATCTGCCCCCACAGATGAGTTTTGCTGGCGTTTGTCCTTATATAAACCCACTGCCATTGAGTCAGTTCCGACTCATAACAACCCTACAGGACAGGGTAGAACTACCCTATAGGGTTTCCAAGACCGTCATCTTTACAGAAGCAGACTGCCACATCTTTCTCCTGAGGAGCAGCTGGTGGGTTCAACTGCCGACCTTTTGGTTAGCAGCCGAGCACTTTAACCACTGCATCACCAGGGCTTCTGTGACCTTATATACAAGTTTATTTTATTGTATTTATACTTGACTAGGAGGTCCCTGTAGCCCTGGTGGTGCAGTGGGTAAGAGTTGGGCTGCTAACCAAAAGGTCGGCAGTTCGAATCCACTAGCCCTCCTTGGAAACCCTATGGGGCAGTTCTACCCTGTCCTATAGGGTCACTATGAGTCAGCACCGGTTTGGTTTGGTTTTTTTAGGAGGTCCCTAGGTGGCGCAAGCGGTTTGTGCTCTACCACTAACCTAAAGATTGGCTGTTAGATCCTGCAGTGCTTCAGGAGAAAGGCCTGGTGATCTGCTTCCATAAAGATTAACCCATTGCCATGGGGTTGATTTTTTTTTTTTTAATTGTTGTAGTTTAGGTGAAAGTTTACAATTCAAGTTAGTCTCTCATACAAAAGTTTATACATACATTGTTATGTGACCCTATACTGTGACAGCACACGCCTCCTTTCCACCCCTGATTTCCCGTGTCCATTCAACCAGCTCCTGAACCTCTCTGCCTTCTCATCTCACCTCTGGACAGAAGCTGCCCATTTAGTCTTATGTATCTACCTGAGCTGAGAATCACACTTTTCGCGAGTATCATTTTATGTCCCATAGTCCAGTCTAATCTTTGCCTGAAGAGTTGGCCTCGGGAATGGTTTTAGTTCTGGGTTGACAGAGAGCCCGGGGGCCATGTTTTCAGGGGTTCCTCCAGTCTCAGTCAGACCATTAAGCCATGGGGTTGGTTCTGACTCACAGCGACCCTATAGGATAAAGTAGAACTGCCCCATAGGGTTTCCAAGGCTGTAATCTTTACAAAAGAGACCACCACGTCTTTCTCCCTTGAGTGGCTGGTGGGTTCCAACCATGACCTTTCCGTTATCAGCCAAGCACTTTAACCACCATGCTACCAGGGCTCCTTTCCGTAAAGATTACAGCCTAGAAAACCCTATGGAGCACAGTTCTACTCTGTAACACATGGGGTTGCCGTGAGTCAGAATCATCTCGATGGCAACGGGTTTGGTGTTTATATTTGACTAGACAATCTGTTGCACATTGCCCAAAATTCAAAAGGAATACAAAAATGACAGTGAAAACCAAGTCTCATTCACGCTCCATCTCTCAGGGACCCTGTTCCCCAACCCATGGCACTCGTTCTTTATGTGCCTGCTAAAGATATCAGAAATAGATAGGAGCTAGTACAAACTTACATATATTCCCTTTTGGGCACAAATGGAAGCATGTCATACACACTGTTCTACAATCAGTTTGCTCTTAGCTGCTAATCTAAAGGTTGGCAGTTCAACAACAGAGAGTCCCGGATAAAGCAGGAGAAAGGTGGGGTGCAGAACTGAAATTCTAGTAAGAAGACCAGACTTAATGGTCTGACTGAGACTGGAGGTACCCCAGAGAGCATGGCCCCTGGATTCTCTATCAGCCTAGAACTAAAACAATTTCCTAGGCCAACTCTTCAGACAGGGATTGGACTGGACTGTGGGACATAACGCGATAATCATGAGGAGTGTGCCTCTTAGCTCAAGTAGATACAAGAGACTAAATGGGCAGCCTCTGTCCGGAGTTGAGATGGGAAGGCAGAGAAGATTAGGAGCTGGTTGAATGGACATGGAGAATCAGGGGTGGAAAGGAGGAGTGTGCTGTCACAGTATGGGGAGAACAATTAGAGTCACATAACAGTGTATGTATTAATTTTTGTATGGGAAAAAATAAATACAATCAAGATAGAAACTAAAGAATAAAAGTAAGCCTAGAACACTAAAAAAAAAAAAAGTTTGGCAGTTCAAGCCCACCCAGCAGCACCTTGGAAGAAACGCCTGGCAATATGCTTCTGTAAAGATCACAACCTTGCAAATCCTATGGAGCAGTTCTACTCTGTAATAAATGGGGTTGCTATGAATTAGAGGCTGACTCCACGGGCAAGGGGTTTAGTTAACATACCTTGGACACTTTTTCAAATTGTTACTTAAAGAATTTCCTTGTAATTTTTTCCAGGTTGCACAAAATTCTATAGTACAGATAATTTAGATATATTTCCAATCCTTTGCTCTGCCTAAGAGTCTTGTAGTAATCTCGTGTTGGTTTGCATGCATGTCTGCAGGCAGGATAAAAGCTTAGGAGTGGATTTTCTGCGTCATAGGGTTTGTGTCTTCATAATTTTGAGGAATGTGGCCATGTGGCCCTCCCTAAAGATTGTTGCAACCACATTCCTACCAGCCTGAAGGGGGAGCTACTGTTTGGATTTTTGGGCCACCAGATCTGACCGAAAGGAGCCCTGATAGCACAGTGGTTAAGCACTCAGCTGCTAACAGAAAGGTTGCTGGTTTGAAGCCTCCAGCCGCTCCACAGGAGAAAGACCTGGTGATCTGCTTCCGTAAAGATTACAGCCTAGGAAACCCTATGGGGCAGTTCTGCTCTGTCATCTAGGGTTGTCATGAGTCAGAATCGACTCGATGACACACAGCAACAACATTCCCTCCCCTTGGTGCCTGGAATCCTTGGTCACGTCTCGTGCTGGGTGCTGCGTGTACAGTGGAGGACAGACATTGATGGGGGTTTGCTGTTGCTGGTTGCCATCGAATCATTTCCGACTCATGGTGACCCCATGTGTGCAGAGTAGAACTGCTCTATAGGGTTTTCAATGAATGTAACCTTTTGGAAGCAGGTCACCAGGCCTTTCTTCCAAGGTGCCTCTGGCTGGGTTCGAACCGCCAACTTTTCAGTTTGCAGCTGAGTGCTTAACCATTTATGCCACCAGGACGCCTACTGTTAGCATATTGGTGCATGTCTCCCATGATTTCTGGACATTTACATGTTGTTGTGTTAGTTGCCATTGAGCCGATTCTGACTCACGGCATCCCCATGTGTGTCAGAGTATAACTGCTCATATGGTTTTCAAGGCTGTGACCTTTCAGAAGCAGATCACCAGGTCTTTCTCTTGCAGAGCTGCTGGATGGGTTCGAACCTCCAACCTTTCAGTTAGCAGCCGAACGCTTAACCGTTGCACCACCAGGGCTCCTTCCTATCGTAGATATTTCATGTAAGAGGGATCATACAGCATTTGTCCTTTTGTGACTGACTTATTTCACTCAGCATAATACTGTTTTCAAGGTCCATCCATGATGTAACATGTTTCAAGACTTGATTACTCTTTAAGGTTTGAATATGCCACGTTTTGTTTATTCATTCGTCTGCTGATGAGTTCTTGAGTTGTTTCACTGTGCTTTTGTTCTAGGAGTTTCCATTCAGTATTTGTTTATTGAGATGAAAGTCACATAACAGAAAATCTGCCATTTTAACCATCATTTAGGTTTTGTATATATTACACATAAAAACATTTTCTATAACATGTTTTCAGTTTAAAGGATAATAGTAATAAACACCCTTGTACTCACCAGTCCCAGGGTGGTGCACAGGGTTAATGCACTCAACTGCTTGGAGGTTCAGGTCCACCCAGAGGTACCTTGGAAGAAAGGCCTGGCAACCTGTTTCTAAAAAAATCAGCCATTGAATACCCTATAAGCACAGTTGTACCTGTAACACCTGGGTTGCCATGAGTCAGAATTGAGTCAGTGGCAAATGGTTTTGGGGGCAGTGGTAATTCAGTGGTAGAATTATCACCTTCCATGCAGGAGACCTGGGTTCCATTCCCAGCCAACGCACCTCATGCACAGCCACCACCCGTCTGTTGGTGAAGGCTTGCATGTTGCTATGGTGCTAAACAAGTTTCAGTGGAGCTTCCAGACTAAGACAGGCTAGAAAGAAAGGCCTGGAGATCCACTTCTGAAAATCAGTCAATGAAAACCCTATGGATCACAGCAGTCTGATCCGAAACTGATCATGGGAATGGCACAGGACCAGGCAGCGATTTGTTCCATTGTGCATGGGGTTGCCATGAGCCAGGGGCCAACTCAGTCAATTTCAACTCATGGCGACCCCATGTGTGTCAGAGTAGAACTGTGCTGAATTTTTGGAAGTAGATCACCAGGCCTTTCTTCCCAGTTGCCTCTGGGTGGACTCGAACTTCCAACCATTTGCCCCTCTCAGGGACTCCAGCTTAAAAACTAGTTCTTCCCTCAGTGCCTGCCTCCCTCCACTGTCCGCGCCCCCTGCTGTCTAGCCCTACACTGTGTCCCCAGGGCCATGTGTTTCCCCAATTAATTAGCAGCTCAGTGAATGAGCACAAACAAGTTTGACATGCAAATGGGAAGAGCGCTGCAAACAAAAGCCAGCCAGAACCCCCAGTTGTGCCACAACTCAGAGACACTGGAACACAGGGCCTCCTGGGGACACACAGCCGGGACAGGTCAAGACATTGTGGAACCCAGGGTCCCAGTCGCATAGACACTCTGAGGAGGCGTCAAACACACCCTGAGTGGTCCTGGACTGTGGCCACAGTTTCCTCTGTGTCTCTGTTTTCCTCCTTCTGTAAAAGGGTTGCCGGCCAGCAAGCTTCAGGAGCCTCCTTTTTTTTTTAATTGTGAAATACGCATCACATAAAACCTACTACTGTAAGCATTTTAAAGTGCACAACTCAGTGGCATTTAGTACATTCACAAAGTTGTGCAACCAGTGTTACCACAATAATGCGGATTGGAGCCGCCTGCAGCAATAGCCAATTCTGAGACAGGGGTGAGGTGAGCAGCAAGAGGTTTATTATATATCGATATATAGGAGACGGAGGGGAACAGATTCCTCAAAAAAATCCGTCTCCGATCGGCTGAAGGCTTTTATAGGGACAGGATTATGGGTCTTAGAAGTTTATGTTAGTTGCCCCTTAGATGAGTTAATCTTCTACTGGTATTCTTGGGGGTTATCTGGCAACATCCTGGTTTTCTTGTCACAAGATGGGTGCTTTGTTCGGTTTTTCATCCTTAGACCATTATCACTTGTTTTCGACCCTCCAAGGAGGAACTTCGGTTAATCTTAAACCTTTTATAGACACTGGAACCAGAGGGAAAGACAAGATCCTGAGACAGTGTGGCGGTTAGCAATGGGCAGGAAATAGTAGTGACCAGGCCTATGCAGCCTCTTCCACCAGCAGCTATATCTATTTCCAGAACTTTCTCATCTCCCCAAAAGGAAACCCTGTACCCGTGAAGCAGTCACTCTCCGTTTCTTCCTCCCCTCACCCCCCTGCCCTTGGAAATCACTAATCTGCTCTCTGTCTCTATGGCTTTTCCTATTCTGGACATTTCATATAAATGGAGTCATTCGATATGTGTGGCCTTTTGTGTCTGGCTGCTTACATTTAGCATCACGTGTTTGAAGTTCATCTATGTCATAACGTGTATCAGTACTTCATTTCTTCTTTTTTTTCCTCCTGAGGTGAGATTCATATAACGTACAATTAACCATTTTAAAATGTACAATTCAGTGGCATTGAGTGCATTCACAGTGTTGTGCAACCACCACCTCTATCGAGTTCCAGAACTTTCTCATCACGCCAAAAGGAAATCCTCATTCAGTAAGCAGTCACTCTCCATTCCTCCTTCATCCGTTTTTATGGCTGAGTAAGGCAAGGCTTTGTTCTGTTACGGGTAAGATTGAAGTGAGTCAGAGCCCACTTGAAGGCAATTAACAATAACAACAAGGAACCCTGGTGGCGCAATGGTTAAGCACTCAGCTGCTAACTGAAAGGTCAGTGGTTTGAACCCACCCAGTTGCTCCGTGGGAGAAAAAAGCTGGCAATCTGCTCCCGTAAAGACTACAGCCTAGGAAACCCTATGGGGCAGTTCTACTCTGTCATATAGGTGGCTGGGAATCCGCTCGAAGGTGCAGAACAACAACATTCCATTGTATGCATTTACGGGCCTTTCTTTTTAAGACCCGGAAGAGAGTTCAGCCAGCAGGTTTGACCCCTGGGTAAATTGAGGTTTGGAGACTAAGTGTGGGGTAGTCAGATCTGAAGAGGTTCAAAGCACCTGCAGGTCACACAAAAGCCAGCGAGACCCCCAGTTATGCAGCAATGCAGGGACAAACAGGGCCAGGACATATAGAGTCAAGTTGAGTGAGCAGTGAGGAACCAAGGACCCCAGACACGTGTGTGGGGATGGCTCTTTATCCTTACCCGATAGGTAATAGGCTCTGCCCTTGGGCAAGTCACTCTCCTGCCCAGGTTCCAGGGGCGGGGAACGGGAGGATTGTACACTACCACACTGTAGGACTCTGATGCCCCTGCTCTCAGGGAGTCGAGGAGAGACCACAGAACCATTCCCTAACACTGTAGGGAACTCTCCAGGAAAAGTCTCTGCGCTTGGCCCAACAGCCCCTCTGCCCACCCCCAGGACATGGCGGCCATCAGGCCCGGCCTCGGCCGAGTCCTGCCTGGGTCCTCTGTCCTGTTCCTGTGCGACATGCAGGAAAAGTTCCGCCACAACATCGCCTACTTCCCGGAGATCGTCTCGGTGGCCGCCCGCATGCTCAAGGTACTGCTGCAGCCCCTCCTCCCTCAGACCCAGGAGTCCTAGCCCCTCCTCCCTCAGACCAAGCCTTTGTCCCCCTCCCTGGCACAGGTGGCCCGGCTGCTGGAGGTGCCAGTTATGCTGACGGAGCAGTACCCAAAAGGCCTGGGCCCCACAGTGCCAGAGCTAGGGGCCGAGGGGCTGCAGCCTCTGCCCAAGACCTGCTTCAGCATGGTGCCAGCGCTGCAGCAGGAGCTGGATGCCCGGCCCCAGCTGCGCTCTGTGCTGCTCTGTGGCATCGAGGCGCAGGCCTGCATCCTGGTGAGATCCCAGCCTGATCCCTGGGACCCCATTCTCACCTGGGACCCCCCTTCTAAGTAGGATACCCTGTCCTGACTCAGGACCCCCTTCTGACCTGGGCCCTATATCCTCAGGACCTCCACCCTAACTGGGGCGCCCCCTCCGCATCCTGACCCGGGACCCATGTCTTCATCTGGAATTCCCATCCTGACCTCAGCCTGCATTCTAACCTGGGGACCCTTGCCCTGATCCGATCTTCCATCATTCCCATCCTTGGTCCCAAATTCTCATCTGGGATCCCCTATACCTCACTCAGGGCCCCTATTCTTTTCCGGGGTTGGCTCTGACCGCTCTCTGCCCCCCAGAACACGGCCCTGGACCTCCTGGACCGGGGGCTGCAGGTCCACGTGGTGGTGGACGCCTGTTCCTCCCGCAGGTGAGAGGGCCCCTCCCGGGGGGGGGGGTGTCGAGGGTGGGGGCATCCAGGAACAACCACTGCCCCGTGGGGAAACAGGGCGGCCACACCGTGTTTGCCAGGGGGTCTATGTGGCTGTCCCAGCACTATCGCCTCTCCCCCATGACGCCCCGCCCCCTCCCTCCTGCAGCCAGGTGGACCGGCTGGTGGCGCTGTCCCGGATGCGCCAGAGTGGTGCCTTCCTCTCCACCAGCGAGGGACTCATTCTGCAGCTTGTGGGTGACGCCGCGCACCCCCAGTTCAAGGAGGTAATGGTTTCCCTGTCTCCCCTCCACCTGGGGACCCCTCCCCCCTCCCATGCATCCAAAGAAAACTCAGTGCCGTTGAGTCGATTCCAACTCATAGTGACCCTATAGGACAGAGTAGAACTGCCCCATAGGTTTCCAAGGAGTGGCTGGTGGATTTGAACTGTTAATCTTTTGCTTAGCAGCCAAGCTCTTAACCACTGTGCTACGAGGGCTCCCCCGTGCATACATCAGTTACCTTTTGAGGGAACACAGCCGGCAACCCTCGCCGCCGCCTCTAGGGGGAGTTACGTCCTAGTCGCGGAGACGGCCCATTGACAGGATAAATCAATGAAAGGCGATGCCATGGTCATAAGCACCGACGAGGAAGATAAAGCTGGGAGGGAGGTCAGATTGCATAGGGTGGTCCGGAGGCCACCTGGAAGAGGTGACTTTGGAGTGAAGTAAGGTGGGAAGGGAAAGAGGAAGCCACACAGGCATAGGGAAGAACAGCCTGTCAGAGGCCCTATAGGGGGAGTCCCTGGACCCCCTTCCCACCGGTCCCCTTCTCTCCATCCCTTCGGCTTCTCCCCCATCAGGTCCAGCGCCACACCCACCCCCAGAGGTATGGCCGGGTGTGACCAGGTAGCCCCCTGCTTCACACCCTTCACCCTCAGCATCACCGGAAGTTCATGGCCCTCCAGTTCTGCCCCTTTCCCCCCTCTTAATTCTGTTTAGTACTGCAGTTATTGAGCACCTACTGTTGCAGGCACCAAGGTTATACAGCAGTAAGCAAAAGCAAGCATGGTGCCTGCCCTGCCTTGCCAGGGTTCCCATTACAGAGCCGAGTCCATGAGGAAGCAAAAAGTCAGTTGCCCAGGGTGGCCTGGCCCTGGGAAGGGAATGTGCAGAGAGTGTGAGAGAGAACCCTAGGGTCACCTCCTCTGAGGTAGTGGTCTGGAGTCTGAGGCCTGAGGGGAAGGAGCAACCAGGCATTCAGAAATGTTTCTGGGAGAGGGAACAGTCAGTGTAAAGGATCTGAGGCAGGACTGTGCTTGCCTCACCCAAGGAGCTGTGGCCAAACTGATGGGCAAGGCCAGAGCCATGGCCTGCCCGGCAGAGATGTGGGATTTCAGCAGTGGGGTTTTGCACAGGGGAAGGTTCCTTGATCAGACGTGCAGTTTACAAAGATCTCTGGTCACAGTGTGGTGAACAGGTTAGGGTAGGTAGAATAGGTTAGGGTAAGGATAAGGAGGGGAACCAGTGAGGAGGCTACTTCCAGCCTCCAGGCCAGCGGTGGGTGACGGGGGGCTTGCCCCATGGTGGAGACAGTGGGGATACAAGCTTGTTCTGTTCTTTCTTTTTACTTTTGTTTATTTTCTGGAGGTAAAGATGACAGCACTTGCAGATGATTGGTAGTGGGGAGTGTATGAGGAGGTGGGCTGGAGAAAGACTCTTGGTTTTTATTTCAGCCTGGCCAGCTGATTGGTGGTTCATGCGGTTTACTGATGGCGGGACAACAGGGAATTTGAGATGTCAAGTGGCCAAGTCCAGGGAGCAGTTGAATCACTGGAGTTTGGGGTCAAGGTCTGGGCTGGAGATTTGGGAGTGGAGGGCCTAGAGGAGGGGTGGGAGAGATAAGGCTACTTAAGAAAAGGGGGAGGTGTACACAAGAAGCCCCAAGACATAGCTGTCTACCATTAGTGGCCCAAGCCAGCAAAGGGGACAAAGATGGCAGCCCAATAGGAGATAAACCAGGTAGGTGTGGTGACAGGGAGGCCCCAGGAAAAGTTTTGACAAGAGGAAGTGGTAGTTTGCTCATCTGCTGCCAAAGGGCAAGGGAAATGAAGTCGTAGAGTCACCCTGGGATTTGCCATCATGGAGATGGGGACCCTTAACTCTTCTTGACCCTCCCCTCTTTCCCCAGCAGATCCAAAAGGTTATCAAGGACCCCGCCCCAGACAGCGGGCTCCTGGGCCTCTTCCAAGGCCAGAACCCCATCTTCAGATAACCTCCTGGCCCTGCCTTGAAGAGAGACCGCCCTCCTCGTGTCATCCAGACTTCGTTGGAAGCGCTTTCCCCCCATCCCTGGATCTCAGGAGTGGTGCAGTCCACTGGGAGTACCGCCCCCTTGGGGAGGGAGGCGGGGCACCGCCTTCCCATTGGGCGCTTCCTCCAGGAAATGCAAATGAGACTCCTGGAAGCTAGAATGGAATTGGTGGAGCAGAGCTGGAGGCGGAGCTCGGCCCCGGGCCACTTCACAGGGCGGGAAGGGGAGGGGGAGAGAATGTCACCGACTGTGTGGGACCGAGACTCGCAGAATAAACATTTATGTGGCTGTGGACTGAACCATTCTTGGGTTTGGGGGGTGTCCCGGGGGCGACTGGGGGCTGCGGGCGGGGGGAAGAGGGGTCCCCAGCAGGTGGGGAGGGGGAGGTGCCTCTTCCCAGCTCGGAGCCGGCGCGAGGCAAAGGCGAGGGCTGGCCACAGCCACATCTGCACGGAAGCAGCGCGCATCTGCACTGGGAAGAGCACTATCGGCCGGGGGTCTCTGACACGCTGCCGGCCGCCCCCCTATCAGCGCGCGCGCGCACACGCCCAGCCCCGGCGGCTCGCAGGCACGCGTTCGCTCTGCCTCCCCCGGCCGGCCCCCCACGCCGCCGCCACCTCCGACTCCCCAAGGGTCCCACATCCGGAAATCGAGGTGAGCGCGGCCGCATCCCGGCGCAGAGGGGGAAACTGAGGCACGGGGGACATGGGAGCGGGGAAGAGGAAGAGACCGGCATGCGGATGAATGGCTGAATGTACTGATGGATGGAAGGAAGGAAGGACAGAAGCTCCCGCAGAGTGGTCCCTGCATCCTCGGAGACGCAGGAGTCCGGGAACCCACACTGGGGCTCCCCGAATTCTGCATCCCCCTTGGAGATCTGGCAGTCGGGGCTCTACAGACCCGCAGTCAGAGTCCCCAGCCCACCCCCACCCCGAGGTTCGCAGTCCTTGTGCCCCAGACCTCGGGGACCTAAGAAGGCAAGCCACTGAGGCCCCCAGGGACCCCGGCGTCAGAGCTCTTAGCCAGTCCGCCCCTCGTTGGGGAATCCGCACCCCCACCGCCGACCCTGGAATCCCAGATCCTTCCCAGGGGGCCCAGTCCCCCGGGAACCCGGCGTCACAGCACCCAGCACCCCTCCTCCCCAGGGACCTAGGAGTTCCGGCCTCCTCCATCCTCCAGGGGCCCCTGTGACCGGGCGTTGGCGCCCCCGGCCCCCGCCTTCCGGGATCCAGGTGTCCCCCCTCTTCACCCCCTAGCCTGAAGCTTCGCGTCTGGGAGGCGGCGCTCGCGTCGCCATGGCAACAGGAGTCTATTTTGTGCTCGGAACATACAGCTCCCGCCGCAGCGCCCCCCCTCCACCAACCCGGGCCTGAGCGAGAGTGGGGGGACCGGGAAAGGAGTTACGGGTCCGGGGGAGGGGGGAGACGCAGAAGCCGAGACTGAGACCGAGACCTTCAGAGAGACAGAGATCCGCAGACAGCAAGCCTGGAACAGAGACATACAGAGACATGGAGTCAGAGAGGCAGAGAGATGGGGACCTGGAGACCGATGGGGAAGAAAAAGAGACAGGATGTAGAGACCCAAAGAGACAGAGACAAGGGCAGGCAGAGGGTGGAGGCACCCAGAAAACTGAGGCTGAGACAAGAAGACAGGGACAGAGTCTCGGAGAGACGCAGAGATGCCCTGAGACACGTAGAGAGACATAGGCGAAGAGAGGCGTTGACCCAAGAGCAGAACTCGTGAGAGGCGAGAGATGGGCCGGTGGGCCCGGGAATGGGGTGGTTGGGGGGAACCCAAGGAGGAGGGATGGCCAGAGACGCCCCAGAACACAGAGATGCAGACACCCCAGAGACAGAAAGACACGAGACACAGCACTGCCCTGAGGCCGGGGCGGGGGACGCAGACTTGGGGTCCGCGCCGGCCGCCTGGTGCGTGTCAGGGGAGGGTCTCCCTCCCTCCGTCCCCGTCTTTCCTCCACCGGAGGGAAGAAGCGCCCCCTCGTGGCCTTTCCGGACCCCAGCCGGCCCCGGGTGCCCAGAACTCTGACCTTACCCGATCCCCATGCCGGACCCCTCCCCTCCCCCTCCGCTTTCTGCCACCTGCAGGGTCAGCCTCCTGAACCCAGATTCCGCCCCCTCATTGCCTGCGTTCCTCCTACTTACCCCAACCCACCCCTTACCCTGAGGGGTGCCTAGGAGCTGCTCCCTTTAAGATCGGACCCCGTGAGCCCCGCCCCCGCCCACCCCAGGCCTTCCCCTAGCCTCGCACTGCGACCCCTCGCTGCCACCTGAAGACTCCACTCCAGCCCAAGCTCCCTGGATCCCAAAGGTTTCTGGCCTCTCTTTCTGGGTCTCCAGATAGCTCTCTGTGAGTCCCTGTCCTCCCCTACAGTTCTCCTTGTTTCTCTTTCTTTGACCCACTCTCTTTCAGGGTTTCTGGCCCCCTCTCTCTGGGTGTCTGTCCCCCTCTCTCCGGGTCTTTGGGTGTCTGTCCGCTTGTCTCTGGTCTCCGACCCCCTCTCTCCCTTGGTTCCTGTCCCCTCTCTTTCTCTGGGTCTCTGTCCCCTTCTCCCTGGTCTCTGTCCCCCTCCTCTTTGATCTCTGTTTCCCCCTTCAGTGTCCCTTCCCCTTTCTCTGGACCGCTGCCCCCACCCCTGAAGGCTCTGTCTCTCCTTGTCCCTCTTGTGGGTTCTTCTCCATCTCTCCTTCTCCACCGGCAATCCCAGGAGGCACTGAAGACCAACTAACCTGGCCCCACCCAGCCCGCCACACTCCTGCCCCCCAGCCCGGCCTCCAACTCCAGCTGGCAGGATCAGGGGAGGGGGCCCAGTAGGGGTGAGTGTGGGCCACAGTGTTGTGCACTGTGCCAGGGGCAGTGGGGGGCTGGGGGCGTCTCCAGAAGCACAGGGACTGAGGGAGGTCTGCTTTGGGTGCCCCCTCCTCAGGCTGGCTCCCTAATCTCTGTCCCCACGTCTGTGTCTCTCAGGTCCTGGGCTGGGGGGAGGCCCGACCTCTGGCCCTGTGCTGGTGGGCATGAGGGGTTCCAGGAGCAAGGAGACTGGGTTTCTGAGCCCCCTTCCCCCCAATGTGGGGGCAGGGCTGAGTCTGGGTGTATGTCTGGGGAGTGGGGGTGTCACCTGCCTGCTCCTAGACTCCTCCACTGGGTGGAGGGTGGAGGGAGTGTGTATACTTATACATGTGTGTGTATATACCCATAAGGTTGTGGGCCTGCGAGTCATGTGGTGTGATTGCGTATCCATGTGTCACTGGGTTGGGTAAGTCCCTGGAGTGTTCCTGAGTCCTATATGGTCAGAGGGTGTCATGATGTTTGAGGTTGTGTCTGGGTTTTATGTGCTGTGTGTAGAAATGTGCAAAAAAATACATGGTTGTGTGTCCATATGGAGCTATCTGTGAGTGACAGTATGTGAGAGAGAGAGAGAGAGTGTGTGTGTGTGTATGAGTTTCCTAAGGCTTCTGAAACAAAGTACCACAAAGTGGGTGGCTTAAAACATGAGAAATTTATTCTCTCACAGTTCTGGAGGCTGTTGTTGTTGTTGTTCTTGTTAGTTGCAGTCGGGCTCCAATTCATGGCAAGTTTATTTACAACAGAGTGGAACGTTGCCTGGTCTTGCACCATCTTCATGATCTTTAATATGTTTGAGCCCGTTGTTGTAGCTATTGAGTCAATCCACGTCATGAAGAATTTCCCTCATTTTCTCTGACCCTCCACTTTACCAACTTTGACGTCCTTTTCTAGCGCTTGGTCTTCCTTATGATGTGTCCAAAGTGAGTTGAAATCTTGCCATTCTCGCTTCTAAGGAGCATTCTGGTTGTATTTCTTCTGAGAGTAATTTGTTTGTTCTTCTGGCAGTCCACAGTTTATTCAATATTCTTTGCCAACACCACAGTTCGAGCGCACTGATTCTTCCTCTGTCTTCCGTTTTCATTACCCAGTTTTGCATGCGTATGAGGCAACTAAAAAGACCACGGCTTGGGTCTGGACACTAGAAGTCCAAAATCAGGGGTCAGCCGTGTTGATCCCTTCTGAGAGCTCTGAGGGAGAATCTGTTTCATGCATCTCTCGTAGCTTCTGGTGATGGCCAGCAATCCTGGTATTCCTTGGCTTGTAGCTGCGTCATCACTCCAGTCTCTGCCTCCACCTTCACATTTATAGACACCAGTCATATGGGATTAGGAACCCACCTACTTCAGTATGAGAAGCCCTGTTGGCACAGTGGTTAAGCACTTGGCTTCTAACTGGAAGGTCAGTGCTTGGAACCTACCAGCTGCTCCTCGGAAGAAAGATGTGGCCGTCTGCTTCAGTAAAGATTACAGCTTTGGAAACCCTATGGGGCACTTCTACTGTGTCCTGTAGGGTCGCTATGAGTCAGAATCGACTTGACAGCAATGGGCTTGGGTTTTTTTGTTTGTTTGTTTGTTTTTTACTCTAATATGACCTCATGTTAATTGATAACATCTTCAAAGATTCTATTTCCAAACAAGGTCACATTCATAGGTACTATGGTCAGGACTTCAACATATCTTTTTAGGGGACACAATTCAACCCATAACTCTGTGTGTGTGTGTGTGGGTGTGTGTGTGTGCATGTGGGCACACATGTATTGGGAGGAAGCTACAGGTGTGTCATCAGGATGACATTGCTTGTCCTTGTATGCTGTGTCTGGGACCTTATCTAGGTGTCCTGTGCTCTGTGTCATCATGTGCATATAAGTACTGTGCGTATCTGTGGTTAGTTCCGTGTGAGGTAAGGGAAGAACTTGTCTCATGTGTCCTTGTGTCTGGATGGGCCACTTTTGTCTGAAGGTGTGTGTCCTCTTCCCAACTGTAGGTGTGGCCATGCATCAGAAGGTCTGAATGAGGCCATGGAGGGAGGCGGGGGCAGGAGGCTGAAGGTCCCTCTATCAGTAGGGGGACTGAGAGTGTGTGTGTGTGACATTGTGTCTGAGTACGTTGCTGGTTTTTTTGGGGGGTGCCACCATCCTCACCCCCCACACGGAGTTGTCACTGACCTATAGTTGTGTCTTCGGGGTGTGCAATTGGAGGAGACCACGGGGCTCTGTTAACAAAGGGAGGAAGGGTGGACTTCGCACAGAGTGAGGAGTACTCAGGCGAGCTGCTCACCTGAAAAGCAGCCCTTCTGTGGAAGGCACCCCCCACTCCACCCCACATGCAGCTTCCCTGCGTCTATGGTTGGGCTCACAGTTGGTGACCCTGTGTGAGCCTGAAAACGGAACCTCTGCCCCCAGCTGGATGCAGCCCCGTTGGCACGCGCCATAGGGAGGAGAGCCGGACTGGATTTCAGCCCCTACTCAGCCTCTTAGCCAGACCCCCTTGTGCAGCATACAACCTGCCCAGCCATACATGGCAGCCCTCAGTGAATGAAGGGATTGCATTCCTGCCTACCTGTGTCACTCTGGCAGCGTCTGTGTGTGTGTTGACCCATGTTTCTCAGCATGGGATAAAGGCAGCCATGTTCTACAGGTGGTAGTGCCCTGAGTTCAAAGCTCAGCCTCACAGCTTGGGCTTGGGCGTTGCGGAGCTTGGATAAATGATGAGACCTCTTGGGACCTCTGTGTCTTCATCTGAAATGTGTGTGTGTGAGAGAGACAGAGAGAGAGAAGAAGACCTGCCTTTCACACTTTGTTCAACATTTCATCCATGCAATGAATTTATTGATTGAGCACCTACTCTGTGCCAGGTACTGATGCTGGGTGGTATGGATACAATGGTGAATAAGACAGACAAACATACCTGCCTTCATGGAGTTTATAGTCTAGTGGCAGAAAACAGACACTAAACTAGTAGACATACAATGTGCCAAGTAGAGATTGTTTTTGTTGTTGGCTGCTGTCAAGTCAGCCCCCTACTCAAGGCAACCCCATGCACAACAGAAGGAAACGTTGCCCAGTCCTGTGCCAACCCTGTGATTGGTTGCAGATAGATCTGTTTTGATCCATAGGGTTTTCATTGGCAAAATTTTCAGAAGTAGATCACCAGGCCTTTCTTCCTAGTTTGTCTTAGTCTGCTAGCTCCACTGAAACTTGTCCAGTATGGATACTTGGCATGTGGAAGGTGGCAGTAAACAATTATGGAGGGAATATTTGCTGAACGAACCCATCCCACACACTGTGCTGGCCCCTGGGCTCTCTCGGGGTTGGGATTGTTAAGAATCCTCCGTTTTCAATCGAAGTGAAAAGTGAGGCTCAGAAAGAGGCAGGCTCTTACCTGAGCTGCACCTGTCTTGGGTTCCAGCCCACTTGATGGTTGTGCCTGCGGTGGAGCTCAGACTTACCCTCTCCCTGAACCCTAGGTCAGACCTCCTCCTCACCCCACCCCCATCATTGCTTTGTGTCCTGTAGGGGTGGGTGTGTGGGGGACTAGGCCTGACTCTAGCCATAGAAAGAGCTGGGATGAAAAATACCCCATCCAACCCCTGCCTCGTTTTCTCCATCGCTCCTTCTCATCCCATCTCCCTCTCCAAAAAGAGTAACCGCAGCACTGTCATGTGTAGTACCTGCAATATGCCTGGCATTGTTCTAAGCTCTTTATCCATATTAACGCGTTTCATCTTCCCACTTACACAGTGGTAATGATAATTATGCCCATTTTACATATGGCGAAACTGAGGCATGGAGGGCTATCAGGTAAAAGCTCGTCCAGTGTGAGGCAGCTGGCAGGTGCTGGAGCTTGGAGATGAGCCACAGTGCTGTTCTGCCTCTTTAGCTATGGCTGGAGGTTCACACCTGACGAGGTGTGGTCAGGTTCAGATCTGACACTTGTAAGAGTGTGGGGAGTGGTGTGTGTGTGTGAGAGAGACAGACAAACAGAGAGACTTGAGATCCCTGAGTATCAGACCTACATAGAGAGAAACCAGCATTTGGGGGACTGAGGACCACATGGGTCTAACCCAGTGGTTCTCAACTGGAGTCGGTTCTGCCTCCCAGGGGACATTGGAGACATTTTTAGTTGTCAAACAGGGGTGGTGGAGGGGGGGAGTGCTGCTGACATCCAGTGGGTGGAGCCTAGGGGTGCTCCTCAACACCCTTCAATGCACAGGACAGCCCCCCACCACAGAGAATGATCCCACCCCAAATGTCAACCCTGCCTAGGTCTGTAAACTCAAATTCTCCAATTCATCTCTCTTCTCCCTTTCTCCGCCCTTCTCTCTTTATCTCCCCTTCCTCATCTCCTCGATTTCTCTGGTCTCGCCCACCCCACATGTGTCTCCCCTCATTCCCTCCTCCCCATCGTCCCATCCCAACCTCCTCTGCACCGGCCCTGCCCTCCCTGCCATCTGCGGCCCCGCCCACCGATCAATCCCCCACATCTGTCACCTGGGCATCTCCGCCACCTTCTCCTCTGCCCCCTTTCCTTCACCCTCCTCATTTCCTCTTTATTCTCTCGTCTCTATCCATCTCTCTCTCTTTTATTTCCACTCATCCCTCTGATGGCTCCATCCACCTGCCCAATCCTCTCTCCTCATTCATCACTCCTTTGGGTCCTTTTCCCCTCTGCACTTTGTCATCGCGTCTGGGCATCATTTCGTGTCTCGCTCATCACTGTTCGCTGACCCTTGGGACTGTCAAGTTTGGGCCCCCTGAACCCAGCTCTCCTGTCTCCTGCTCCGCGTTTCTCTCCATCTCTCCACCCTCTCTGCCCGCCCGTCTCGGTCTCTGGCCCTCTCTCCCACCCCTCTCTTCAGTCTCTTCTCTTGGTCCTCCTCGCAGCCTGGCGGCCCCAGCCAAGCCCCTCCGCGCCCATGCCGGCCCTCCTGCTGCTCGGG